TTTTCCTTCCTCCTTTTATTCTCAGGTAAAATGAAATCACATGTTTTTGTTTGTTAACTGTCAACTCTTTATTATTGAATGCTTCTCATGGCCTTACTTTACCTCTCGATCAAGAGAATTGGTCAAGGTACGGAGTTCCCCTGTGTTTCTGCCTAACAGAAACATGGGTTGATCTGCAGGTTCTTGGGAGATGATTTTGAAGGCAATTTTAGAGTTCAAATGATTTGGTTCATCTGCATCTGTGGCATTTAAGATCATCACCAAAGAGTCTAGGAATACAGAAATTCATTAAAGGATGTGTAGAAAATGAAACTATGCTCACATTAAATATTCAATACAATTTCAAATTGGTGCTTATTTTTTAAGATCTTAAAGATATCTATATGCTGGAAAACAATACAAAACTAAATGCCAAACAAAGAAAACCTACAAAAAACCCACTACATATTCCTTGCCATATCTCTTACTGCTTTTTGCAACTAGGTAGAACTTGAATTCCCTCCATAAAATCTTCCAATTCTTCCTGGATTTAGCTGTGCTGAGGTTGAGAGTAATTACTTCTATAATTATTATCCCCTTTCCCCAATAATTCAAAGTTATGTGGGTGTGTCTCTGTCCCTAACAATCTAAACAATCCAGTTTATGCATCCATGCTATCTACCTACATCTGCCTCGTGATCTTGATACTTGCTGCCTTGATACTTAGGTGGATTGTATGTACAGAACAAAATATTGTTGACTTTATAATAGGACACAACTTGGAAATGCATTGGCAGAGGATACTTAGCTCTACTACCAATTTTAGAAAGTTAGTTTCCAGGTTAGCTTAAAGAAAGACTTTTTTTTTCCTGCAAAACTATTGATGAAACTGCCAGAAGAACAAGCAAATTTGTCTTGAAAGAGGTACAGCCAGAATGCTCCTTGGAAGTGAGGTTGACGAGATATCATCTCACATACTTTGGACATATTATCAAGAGAGACCAGTTCCTGGAGAAGGATACCATGCTTGGTAAAGTAGAGACTCAGTGACAAAGATGAAGATCCTCAAAGACATAGACTGACAGAGTGGCTGCAACAATGAACCCAAACATAACTATTGTGAAGATGTTTTTGTTTATAGAGTTGTTATGAGTTGAAATCAACTCGATGGCACCTAACAACAACAACAACACACACAAAAAAAACCCTGATGAAAACAAGAGAATAAATAAGTTGATAAAATATGATGTACTAGATTGATACTGTATTTGAAACAAAACAAAACAAAAAACTGTAAGTACCATAGAACACTTACTTGAAGCACTATTTTCTTCAATTTCACCCATGAAAACGCTTTGTGAAAATACTGGAGAATTATCATTGACATCTAAAATTTTTACTGTTAATAGAAGTGGTTTCTCTACATCTTGACCTAAGTAGTTTACAGCTCGACATGTGATCTAGAACAGAGGGAAAATATTCATTAGTAATATAGAAATTTGCATAATATTAAAATTAACAGACTAGGGCCTCTCCAAGCATATACAAAACATTTGTGCAAAGAAAAAAAATGTTTCCCTAAAGGGTAGACAGAGCAGGAAAGGGCACCCATTTTGGAAAGAACAACTAAGCAAGTTGCCCTTCCTTCTAGGCTGATGCCGTCTCATGTCACGGTGTAGCTCTTGGCAAACTACATGCTGGATTTAGTGCTTATGCACGCTTCCAGTGTATTCCTTTATGTGCCCAACCATAAGTGGAGGCTCTCTGCAGAGGACCTGTGATTGTTACTTGTAGTTGGATTGATTCAGATGGCATTTCAAACATTGATCTTTCATGCTATCCAATAGAGAAGAGTCAACTTCTAAAGCCATAGCACACAGGAGAAAGAAGGTGGCTTAACATTGAACATACAAACTTACCAGGAAGCTCGGAGTTTCCTCACGATCAACTATGGCAGTTATGTTAATTTTTCCAGTGTTTTTGTCAACAACAAAGATTCCCAAAGGAGGTTGATCAATTCCTACCCCAGAAATGTGGTAGGTAATTTTCTGGGTTTGCTGGAAATCTGAAGTAATCTGTAGCAAAAATATCCCAAACACTTTTGATGAATATTACACAAGCTATCTTCTTCCTCTCCTTTACCCCCATAGTCTTAAATCATCTGTTCACTTTGATTGCTTTTTCTAACATTGGGGAGCCTTATTTTTTACCTAGGAATGCTAAGAATATGAAATAAAGGCAAATGATTGTTTTTACTGATTAGCATGGACCTGTCCCCGTGCATATTATTGGGACTTTAGAATGTTTGCTCAGAGTGTAGCTATGGGGGTGATGTTAAAAGATTGAGAGAAAGGCAAGAGTGCTTACTGTTGGCCAGAATACTTCTGAACGCTCACTTGCTTAACTGACAACATTCAAAATGAATGTTTCTTTTTGTTTAAACAGATGGAAAAGGAGAGAAAAAAGGGAGACATTATATATTAGTTGTTCAAAATATATATTGAAATAAGTTTCTTTGAGA